AACACAGGTCATGAAAAATGTCAAATTATGATTGGACCAACAGGTCTCTCAAGTCTGTTGGCTAAATTTCTTTAATAACACATGACTCTACATTCAGTCATAATCTGGTGCAACCATAAAGAAATCCTTCAGTCTTAACATGGCATTACACATTTTATTCTAGATAGTGTAAATAAAATATTTAGTCTGTTAAGTTCAATTCAACAATGTTTTTATGTGTTTTCTACCCTCACTACAAGTGTAGGTGTACAGCTATAAAGCAAGCAGAGGATACCTCCAAAAAAAGGTGAAGACCTGAGTTGGCCTATGAAATCTTTACTGAAAGATGTACTGAAGCTGTAAAATGATGCATTCGGTGAAACCTTCAGGAGGGTAATTACAGTTCAATTCCAAAGAGAGACCAAGCATGGTGACAAAAACCTGAATTCACAAGCGTGCAGGCTACTAGCTAAACCAATTACATTGTGCAAAAAGTGGAAAACTTGTATATCCAATTCATTTATGGCACATTTAGCTCAGAGTTGTGTGCCAGCTGCTGTTTCATGTTATTGCCAGTTTAGCACCATGAAACGGGTCTTAACTAGCTTCACACCTTTTCTGTTGTTGCCTCACTTATTATGACTTGATCAATCTTTGCTATTAGCTGAAAATGAAGGATACTGACAGCTTACAACATGCTGGTAAAAACTCACGTTGCCTGCTTAAGCTGCGCTAATTTACTGTCTTTATATCCAATTCAAATTCTAATTATACTGTTCTGACCAAATTTATTAGAACACCTGTCATTAAAACAAGAAGAAATATTTTAAAGATCTGTCAAAAAGTTGTTTATAACTAGAATTTATGTTGGTATTTAACAGAAAAAAAAACTAATTAGCATCAATTTTTATACACAAATTTAAGACAACAGTCTGGACATCTATGAGATGTCAAATAATTAAGCATAATATTCAGGCAAATAACATTTTTCTGTTTAGGACTAGCAAATAATTCTAAATTGGCATCTTAATTTTAAAAAAAAAGAATTTTTTTAAAAAAAACTGTAAATCTGTAAATTTGTGCATAACAACAATCAGATTTTTATTTTAGCAATAAAAACACAATTTTGATAAAAGAACTTATTGGTGGATTAAACATTATGGAAATATTAATCATTTAGGGAAGCTGTGGCATAAACCTTGACCTGAGTGGTTTATGAGTCTAATAAATTTGTTAAGCACTGTAAATACACTCTCCTATAAATAATCGCTTCATTTACAGCAAAGATGGAATATTTTGTGTGTGTGTGTGTGTGTGTGTGTGTGTGTGTGTGTGTGTGTGTGTGTGTATATATATATAAAAATGCATCCGTTGGCATTTAAAGGCCATCGATAACTGAACTGCCACAGAAAGCTGAGATGGGGCCAGAAAGAAAAACGGAGCTTATCCTTGTCAGTGTGTTGTCAGTCTAAAATGCATTGACAGCACATACTGTGATTTAAAACAGATCCTGGTTAGTTATACAAAAACACAATTGCTCGCAAGTTATGCAAATATTTAAAATTGCAGAAGTAAATGATAAAGAAAAAACTATTCAGGTAGGGGGAAAAACAATTAACTTAATTTAGAAGAAAAAAAGTTTTATTGGCCTCATTTTTTATATTTTCTTGTAAAAATAACTCTAATTCCTTTAGAGAAACATGGGATCCCACAGTTTCAGCACTTTTAATTAATGAGAAAATAAAACGTAACTGGCAGTTTAACACTTCAGCATATACTGTGTATTTTTTTGTGTGCTCCAGCCTGGCATTCCTCTCGGCCGGTGCAATCCTCATACTCAACAAATCATACAGAAATGCCAGCCCACAGTCCCTCCCCCGAACTCAACATTTTCCAATGTGTTAATCTGCACAGATGATAAATTTGTGGTTGCAGTAGGCCAATTCTCACCAAACACACACACTTACACACACAACCTGTTTAATGTGCAGCTTGGCCACTGATTTAGCTAGGTGTATTTCAGAGTTTAAAAATATGTTGTCACAATGTCAGATTTCTTCATTCAAAGATAAAATTGATGGAGTAGACAGAAGCAGAGGAAATGTGATAATTCTGTTCATAAACTGAAACTCAGACTTGAAGAAATTCAACAAACTGAATCTGTACGTGATATTTTTGACAGTAAGTTAACCATTTGTGATTTTTTTTAAGCTTGTGTGAGATTACTAGACGGTTAAAACATGTGCACGTTGCATAGTTTGCAGTGTTGTGATAAAATTTGGAATAATGGACTAATGTAGCCTGATGGAGAGAGCCTATGCTGTCCTTGTTCACTGAAAGGTTAAAGTATCACTTATCAATTTGAATTAAAGATAAAATATTCCCAAGTGTCTCTTAGCAAGTTCCACTTTCATGCTATAGGTAGACATAGGAAAAAAAACAAAAACAAAAAAACACCCATGCTAGCACGGTAGATGTAACAGTTAAATGTGCAAGAGCAGTAAACCAGCATTTGAACAGGTCATGTGATAACTTAGTCTGTCCTCAATGAAAACAAGCCCACTGGAGCTCACAATACAATCAATTTTGGAGTTACTTTTAAGGTGAGTCATTCTTTTTTCAGCACTACGCTGGATTCAAGGTTTCCCAAACTGCCAATTTCAACTTTTACCACCGCCAATCGAGACAAAACAAGAGAGGAGGTTATGAGCAGGAAGAAAAAAAATGAAACAACATATTTATGGCTTGAACAGGACACCTCGCATCACATCTGGCTAGCCTCCACACTACTCTTTCTTTCCTTTCCTGTTTTGATCCTGTAAGCTATCATCAAAGATGTGACAGTGATCTGGATTAAACATTTAATCTGCTTTTCTGTAAATTAAGCCTGAGCCTATGATATCAAATTGTCTTTGGGGAGACTCTTCTGTATAGCAAAGCTCTAATTGGTTCAGCTGGCTGTTATCTATGTACAGTAAAACAGCGTGAGTTCAATTTGGTGCCTCTCAGAGGGAGGTGAGATTTCTATCTATCCCCTTCATTCACAGCTTAATTCAATTGGAGGGCAATTATCGACCGCCCCAAGGCTTCAAGATCCTCATTGGTTTCTGTTCCCATCAGGGAGTCTCGCAGTGTAGGATCCCCCCTGACTGCACTGGGTGATGTCTGTATCGATGTGCTGTGTGTAAGACACCAGAGGAAGCAGCAGCAAACAGGCAGGAAGGCGCTCTCAGTCACAACCTCGAGAATCAAAAGATTCTTAAGCTGGATTCATCTGACTTGTTTAACAGCATGAAGCTTTAAACAGCAAACTTTTATCCTTTTGGAATAAGAATCATCAAACTTACCACATGACAGATTTTGCCACAGACACCCAGAAAATAAAAACAAGCTCAAAAATTCATTAAACAAAAATCTAAATATCAACAAAACCAACTAGCCTACAGTTAATTTTTTCATTCCCATTTTGTGTTCTTCAGTGAGCCAGAAATCGGAGCCATGTTTGTAGTTAACATGATCTGGAATGGCACCTGTAACAATGAAAAGTGATTAAATTTGGCCCATCTACCCTCTGACTTCATGTTTTTGTGCATCCCTGGACTAGTTTCAGCACTGCTGCTGTTGACTCATTGCTCAAGACCGCAAACAACCACAAACATAAACATCTGTGTCAAACTGACCTGCCTTATTAATTTAGTCCTCTGGGTCAGACTGTCGCTAAATGCAGAGTTCGACATCCTCTCAAAAATAAAACTGAGCAAAAACATTGAAGTGGCACGGGTGATTTACTTTTTGGACAAAATATTCTTAATGCAAACTTTGCACACCTTAGGTCTGACTCGCACAGGCACAGAGACCTGCTGCAAACCCCATGGAAACCTATGGTTCCAAGGGACAAATGTTGGCGGGTACTTTGAGAAGAATTTGGAAATAAAACCTAATTCCAAACCTGCATATCGATTGCAATAGAAGGTCCCAGCTTCTGTAAAAATCTGCTAGTTAACTATGAAAAATTTAAAAAGTGTGATGCAAATTACAAACTAAGAGCTCTTTTCTTTTTTTCCTTTACTTTTTTGGAGTTTCACAAGTGATTCGTAAGTAGTCCTGCAGTTTGTATTAATGAGACAGTACAGGACAGCAAGCCCTCACCAACGAGTCAGGCAATTCACATTTTTACCAAGGAACCAGTAGTTACCACCGGTCCAGAAGTCTAAAAGACGACCACATTGAAGGGTGGATTTGCCAAATTTTAGTCAGACATATTTATTCTTATGGGTGTAGTCCTAAACTCTTTGATCACACCTTCCATTTTTGAATATTTTGGCTAACTGGATCCATTTAAAAAGAGAACCGTGTGAATATGGTCATTTATACAAGAGAAATGGTGTTATTAACACAAAATCTAATGTTCACATTAGGGCTGTGCGATATGACCAAAATCTCATATGCCGATATCAAGACATCTATCGTCCGATAACGATATAAATCACAAAAATGTAACATTTTCTGTAAATTCTGTGAATCTTGGGCAGCTCGACTTGCGTGAAGTGTTTCCAGCTGCGCGTCGTGTACCTGGAGTCCAGTGTTTTAACCGATACATGAAACTATACATTTTTAGACGTAAGTCGTAACGGCCGCCGTTTTCTTTGTGAGTATTTATTACACAGCGTGCTGCGGGCAAAAAGCCTGTTCTAACGTTTTAGTCTAAGGTTTATTTTTTAGCACCTGACGGCTCTTTGTTGCTTCTCATCCGTAAATACTTTGCATTTTTCACGTGATTCTGTTTATTTTGAAAAGTCTCAACAGGATCTTGAGCTTTATTGTGAAAGGTTTATGTGGAAAATAAACGAGTGGACACGCGGTGGTTTTACCGTCGCTGTTGCTAAGGACAACGCATAAAAACAAGCGCTTGTCTGTCTGTAGTGTGGTTATATTAAATATAAGAGAAAGAGAGAACTTTAAGAAATTAATATAGCCACTACAGTGACCATCAAAACGATGAAAAAAATATTGCTGTAAACAGTTTATTTTGCGACACCACGAAACAAACGATAGCGTAAAATGAAACGATAGACGTTTTTATATCCTCATCCGATACATATCGTTATATCAAACAGCCCTAGTTCACATCCTTGCATTCAGATCTCAGTCTACAAAGAGTATGGACACGTTTCTTTACTAAAGTCTGAGTTTCTCCAGCTTTAAATAAAAATGGAAGTATTTAGAATTTTTGCATGATCAAAATAATTATCAGTTCTGTAATATTTGCTGGATTAAGCCAATTTGGGTTATGTAACACACCTTTATTCAAACCCTTTGTTTGTTGTATTTAAGTCTGTGCTCCATATGTTTTTCACTAATGAGACAAAAGTCTCTAAATGCGTTGTTGTCAATTATTAGTCCAAGTGCTCAGTCTGGATATTCTTAAATAATCTCTGCACAGGAAAAAAAACAACAGTGGCTAAACAGACTGTACAAGCTGCATACTTGTAGTTTTCCCACAGCGTGCTAGAATTTACCATCAACCATCAATTTCTTAAACAGCAAAGCACACATGAAGCAGAGCCCTACATACCATCTCATGTGTCTCATCTGACAAAGTAAGTTCCCCTTCACACTTAATCACTTTTATTATTAGTAAGACAGACACCAAGCTTTAAAGTTCCTTAAAATGTCTTGTTAAGTCAAATTACGAGAAAGAAGAACAAAAGAGCACCTTAGAGCAGAACATTTGGTATTTAATAACAGCCTGATATCACACCGAGACTGAGAAAATGATTAATGTACTATTTAATTAGTGAGGCAGGCTTATAAGCACTTTCTGTTCAGGAGCATATGCATTATTGCCTTTTGTGCTTTATTCAGCATTGAGTACATGGTGGATTTCTTTTCGAGTACCTTTAACATGCATTATGTTGGTTTTTTTTCTTCCCTAAAAGCTGCTCATAAAGCCACTAGTTTTACCAGCCAGCTTCATTAAATCAACACATTTTCATGAACAAGTTCAAGTTAAATAAAAGTCTTAATGTACTCTTGTATTGTATTGTCTAGATTCGTCTGAAGCAACAATCCTCCTACCACACATCACACCTACAGGAAAATGTTCCAATACATAATAAATGAAGTGACTATTAAAGACAAACGGGGCTTTCAGCGAACACAGTGGTCACGTATACCATTTCCAATTTGTTATTCTTATTTTCTGAGATAGTTTTATATTTTGTCTGCATTCTAGAGACATGTGCTCTCAGCATGCCGTCAGCTGCTGATAAAGTATTGGTACAGGCCTGTGAAGCAACAAGAAATGCGATCCTGTACCACTGATTACAGTCATTGCACCTTCAGAAACACACCGCAGTCCATTAGCAGTGGGACACTGACAGATTTTTCTTTTGCTGTGCTGGCTTTGTACTGCAGCACATTCGATTTGAAATGAAAGAGAAACCGAGGGGTTCATCTATTGACTTTTCATATACAACCTCCAACTTCAGATAGTGAAATGTTTCCAGTAAATAAAAATATACCAAGCGATGTCAACAGTGAATGTTTTAGAGGATTTTTATGCTGGATCAGAGGACCACACACACACTCCATGGAGAAAAGGACTGAGCCACCTAAACATTACATCTGCAGGAGCTGCTCAGCAATAGAAACTCATGACATGAAGGTCCCAGCTTTTTTATTATATGTTATATATGTTAATGGCAGTTAATCTGCAGTTTATTCTATTGCAGTACCTTGCTTGTATTCAGTGAGCTCTTTCGACTCACTCTTTCACAAATGTTTGTGAAAGCAGACTGCATGGAGAGATGCTTGATTTTATATATCTGTAGCAACGGGATTAAGAACACCTGAGTTCAGAGATTAAGAGGCCTTATAATTTTGCCCAATATAATATATATAGGGTCATTGGTGGTGACAAAGACACATCAAATTATTGCCCTCTTTCTCCATTTGTGTTTTAGCATCTTTCACCGTGTTGTTTGGATTTTAAACAGCAAACAGCTTAACAGGTTTGCTACAGAAGATGTCCATTTTCCAGCAAAGTCAGTAGTCACCTTTGTAGCATTAAACTCCAATTAGACGTTTGAAAGTAGCTCCTGAACATAGGAGAGCATGTAGCTGCTAAAGACACTTATTATTTTGAGAGTCCCAGCAAATTTATACTTAAATGTATGCCGTTGATACGTTGTAACAGCAAACCCCTCTAAATTAACCCGTGTTACAACCTGTCTGGAAATGTAACTTGTGATTGGCCTGTTCAATACCTCTGATTGCTCCTGTGCATTTCCCGATAATGTTTTGGTGTCGTTTTGGAAGATCAGTGAGAAAACAACAATCATTGCTTCAATATAAGGACTCACTGATGTCAGCATTTTATTTGTTTCCATCTTAGCTGGGACTGCATAAAAAGCACCAAGAGACAATCACAAGTTAATTAACACATAAAACACCATGCATGAATGCTGGCAAGCGTGTCAGCCACTTACGTCGATTACAGAGTAGGCTCTGCCGTTAGGCCACAGTGAAACCACATCTAAAAACAATTCAGTTGTTAGACTTCTCGCTGTGACTGTGAAACTTGTTTCTGTTCTCACTAAGTGGCCAAAACATATCAGTAATGTATTGATGGTCTTACAAGCGAAGTATTAGCAGATTTCCCAGAAGTGGATTCAAAGTAGTCCTAATGAAGGCCACTGAATAAAGTTTATAGTCTGCAAGAAACCCTGAATTCACTATGAGTGAAATCAGCTTTTCAGACCAAGTTTCAACATTAAACCCATTACAACCTTAACTGTATGTGAGGGACCATTGGAACATTTTATTTAAGAAAAGAAAAAGTCCAAACTACTGTTCTTGATTGAACAATGTCTCAGATGCAATATTTGCTGACTCCTCTGTATGCAGATTCTTACTGTAAAATTTAAGCTGCTGTTTGACAGCACTGAGCTTTCCTTCGGACCTCGACAATTTCTAAATCTAAAATATGCAACAGATGACTCGGACTAACAAAGTGAGACGAGTCAAGAATGGTGCGTCTGTTTCACTCTAAGTGCAATGGAGTCTCTTCTTTCAGCTGTCAGCTCAAGCTAAAACTTTCAAAAGGTGAACTTCTCGGCTCAGATCGCTTTTCTCTCGACCAACTGCTGAGCTGACAAAAACTTTCCATCTTTCAGCCGATGCTTCTCTGCTCTCCTGCTCCTCTCTCTCTCCTTCACACACGCACATTACACAAACCTGCACAAATACCCTCACTTTTCTGTACCATTTTGTCTCATGAGCACCGCGACACTGAAGCTCAACTCCCATGGCAATTGTGAAGTATGTGCATGAAAGCATCCAACCTGTTTAATTCAAATAAAGAAGAAGTGCTTCAGGCACAGCAGCCCCCAATGCTCAACATTGTGAAGAAGGAGAGTTTGCAGCCAGTAAACCAAATTTGTAAAGATTGACAGTACTAACATGCAAACTCCAACACAACAAGCACTTGTGAGGAGTTGTAATGATCCGCAAACTCGCTGCATTTGAAATAACCAGCAGCAAGAAGCGGCTGATAATGAGATAGCATCACAACTTACTTCTTCTAAAGTGTGTGCTAGCTGATCTGTTTCAAAACACAATAAGCACTGCATTAACAGATGAAAATATCCAAGTCTGCAAGGACATTACAGTTTAAAGGTGAGAACCTCTTTGCATGGAATGCTAATGCACAGAGCACGAAAAGCATTCAGACCAAGAAATCGACTTTTAAAGATTTCAAAGCCACTTAAAACTACAAAAAGGTGAAAGAAACATCACAAATCAATCTTACTTTGAGTAGTCTTCATTATCTCTGTCACAGCGTGAGTCCTTATGTTTCTCCCAGTCTTTGCCATGTTTACATGTCGTCAGCAGAATAATATCTTCCCCATTGTGGATGTGATACAAAGCATTCCTGGTCTCCGAACCTATACCAGTTAAGTACCTTTTCCCTTTGAAAACCAGCTGGTACTTCCTGGAAGGTGGTGCATCGTTAAGTGTCAGATAACCTATGCCCCCTCCTTTTAGCGGATGATCCTTTGAGAATAGAGGGATGGAAATATCATAGTTAGGTCGGAAGTTGACAACATCTGCACTGGCCTTGGCCAGCATGGCCTGTCCCACCTCAAAGCCCAAATCCTCAGTGTAGTCCGGCCAAGTCCCAGAGTAAAGGTTGAATATGAGGTGATTCCTGCCATCGTTCCACGTGGGCAGGTTCTGGATACGCGATCTAATGTTTTGGACGTACTGCACTGAGAGCTGGTCCCTGTCCAATGTGTCCACAGCTAAAATAAAGAGACAGGCCCTCAAAGGGTCTGTGGTGTGGAACCGGGACTCTTCAATGGAGGTCAAGATCTTCTTGTAGGTCTCTGAGATCTCGCTGCCTCTCTGTTGAGGGTAGATGTAAACCTTGAATCCCGACTGGCAGCGAGCAAAGTCAAAGCAGGTTTCCATGCGGCAGCGCTTGTTCTTGTAGATGTTGTCACGGATCGCCCGTCGTTCACGAGGGGAGGTGTGCTGATGATGGAGCTGAGGGGTGTCCTCCTGTATCCACAGAAACAAATGTATCTATTAACATCACACCAATGTTTGTGCAGTACAGTCAACTCTCCATTAAAACAAATTCCAAAAAACCCCCAAAAACGAATAAATAGTTTGCACTCAAAACTGCATCTTTGACCTAATGGGATTTCTAGATAGTGACGCTTTTAAAAGTTGTCTCCTGCTGAAAACTGCTTTTGAAAATTCATGGCTGGAAACTGCTCCCTCATCATTACTGACTGGCCTGTTGCATTACTTGCAATCCTGAATTCTTCAGCTGGTAATTTGTGCTTGATTTCCCCAAAGCAATGGTGCTTAGCCATCTATGCATGTAATCCCTTAAAGCAAACTAATGTCTATGCACAAGAACTTGCATATCTGCTTAGACAGCAGTATGTGAAAAGAAACAAAGTAAAGCAGTGTAGTTGGATATGCAGAAAAGCCACAACGTGACACGCTGCATTGATACCATGAATTGGTACTCACTTCACAATATCCACAGCCTTTTCCCCTTAATTCTGAATATCGCTGTAACTTCCTTGAATTTAAAATTCTTTTTAAAGTGTTTTTGCCTTCCTAAAAGTTTCCTCTCTCTTCACTTCTTTCTATAACACCTACCACCGCCAACGCTTAACACTAGGCTATTTTCAGCATGAATGCCTGGTAAGAGCTCAGCCAAAAAGAGATGTTTCGTTTGCAGATATTTTGATTTGAATGAAAGAATCTTTTTTCACTGGTAGAGAAAATACTAAAAAAAAAAAAAAACCCAACATCATTGTGTTATCATCATCATCATTACATAATTCCCCATAGGGATCAATAAAGTATTGTGATTCTGATCTTGTGACCCCCCCCCTTACAGCTTACAATCACAAAAGCTTTGAAACCATCCTCCTTAACTCAGTTTTACTGTTCTGTCCTGTTGTTGGACTTTCATTTTGATCACTAAACGCTTATAAATTGGACTTTTTCACTTCTTTTTGTTTTTACTTAAAGAGCTTTCATTGTTTCTTTTCTTATAAATCATTCCAGTCTACCTCCTGCTCTCCTCCCTCCAAATACGGCTCCAGCAGCTTGGTCGACTCCGGCCAGTGTCTGGGTGGTCTGGATGGATTTCTCTGGGGCAATGGCTGGGGCTGGTAGTACACTTCCTTACTTTGGCGGTAGTACTGGTATTCTTGTTGGTGGTACTGATGATACAGGGGGTACTGGGGAAACTGATGATACTGGTATGGCTGCTGTTGGAACTCCCCAATTTGCAGACCCCACAGATATATGAGGAAGAGAAGACCGGCCCCCACAGACACAAGCAGGTACCTCTTCTTGGCCTGCATGTGTGCTGTAGGGGGAGGAAAAGGAGGAGGTGGTGGGTCTGGGGAGGGAAGAGAGGAGAATAGGGTGGAGGTTCACAATAAAACGAGGTGGGCAGCAGGTGTGAGAATAGTGATGGAGCTGAAAAAGGATCAACTTAGAGATTAAAATAAAACAAGTATTAATAAAAGGGAGTAAAAGCGTTGACAAAAGGATGCCAAAAGAAAGCAGGGAAACGGGGACGAGGAAATGACGAGGAGAGGGGTTGCAGGGAGGTAGATGCAGGTCGGCTCTCTACCCACAACTCGGCATTTTGGGTTTTGGCGTCACTAAAAGAAAACATAAATAGAAAACTATCAATGAAATAAGATATCGGAGTTTCTGAGACAAATAAACATTTTTTTAAATAAATAATTGATACAATATTGCACGGAAAAAAATCAGAATAACAGCGTAGAAGCTCTGTGAAAAATGTTAAACCATATCTGAGCACCTTTACTCAACACAATACATGTCATAAATACACAAAAATCTGCCTAAAGACACGGCATTAAAATAATAAAAGCCCAAGCTGATTTGTACACGTTAATTTTGTTTTGATATTTAACTTTTTCAAAAAGTTTTTGTTTTTTTGCTAAATGTGACATGGACGGCTCAGTAGCGCTTCTGACTTTCTTAAATAGTATGCAGAGCCCGGTGTTCGCTTAAAAACGGAATTGACTGATAGCGGTGGCTGTTTCGACATCATCGTCACAGCGCAGGGTGTCTCGTTAGGGGCGAAAGAGTGTCGCTTGATGACAGGTTCGCCACTAAAATGCAGCATTTCTGAAGGGAGTTTGCAGCGAGCTACGCGTTCAACACATGGGCTGTTTTTGCCAGGAAAACCACCTCTATTATTAACTCTTTAGAAATTTCTACCTTACAAATTATATTTCATAACTCTTTAGTAAGCGTAATTCCTAATTGAATCCTCTCACCTGTTTGTATAGAACACCTGTGGTTCCAGGAAGTGTCCGCTGCTCTCCCCTCCAGCCCGTGGAGGAATATCCACTTCGGAAACACATTCTTCATGAACCCTCGAACTGTAAATCCATTAGCAAATGACACGCTATGTTGAAACCACGTGCGGAAGGAAATTCACAGAGATCCACTGTGCGCTGCCTTCATGTTCCGCCGCATCCCAGTCACAAACTTTCCGCGAGACAGGACCACAGTCCCGGCGGAAAACACAACACAGCGAGCTGTGAACGCGATAGGTTCCCACAGTGAGAATTCAAATGCACACTCATCTGCCAGAAGAGCCGCGATCACAGCGACAGCATCCATCCAGAATTAAGTCGGTTAAACAAGGCGCGTGCATCTCCAATCAGCATAAGCCATGCCCCCCTCTCTCAGAAACCCACAGCAAGAGAAGACCCAAACTTTGAAATTGAAATCCACATCCCCCCCTCTGTGCGCTGTCGCTCACAGTCAGAAATGAGCAGAAATCATCATCATCCCAGGTAAGTTAAGGAGACGCCGGCGCACCTGATCTGGAGAGATGCGTATCAATAAAATCCTTTCAGGAGCGTCTTCGACCGGCGGGAGCGTTTCTCTATGGAGTAAAGCAAATGGATCAAATAAGCATCACAAGAGAACACTGATGTTCTTCTGGGCTATCAAAACGAGAATACGGGGTTCCAGTAGCATTTCCATCCTCACGTTTCCATCCTGAAATCCTCAACTGGATCCGAGCTGCTGCACCGTACAGCATCCAGCAGCAGCAGCAGCGCTGATAAGCCAGACAGTAGCAGGCTGGCAGACATGGGGGGGGATCGGAGTATGCACGGAGAGTCTGTTTGCTCCGATAAGGTGCAGGAGCCCGCCATAATTCAGGATCTCCCAGTTTGCATTTGTAAATGTATTTGTATCTGGTTAATGGAGCGTGCAACAAAAACACAAGACGTCCCAAGAAATTACTGAAATCACAGATCACGGGGAAGTCCCAGAGGTGCACTCACAGGTCCTCTGGGTCATTCCTGCTTTCATTTTACAAATCAAACTCCATTCAGAAAACTGCAAATGTTGGACTTTAAAAAGTTGTAAAACACGACTTGTTGCAATAGTACAGTTTAACCATGTGGGATGCATGTCTTTTACATCTTGTAGCTGTTTCAGCCAACGTCACTGAGTTCTGTTTAGCGCTCATTTATTATATTTTGACGACACGCTGAAATTGCAGGCAGTAATTTGAGGAGTCTGTGCGAGTTTACGCTATACCTGTGCATCTTAAGGTTAAGATAGCGTATAAAAATCGTGCAGGGATTAGTTACGTCTCGGTGTTTTGCAAACATGAGAACTTTTAATTAACTCGTGGAATCGCTCAGTGAGTCCAATATTGGGCCCAATTATTCAACTTTGACCATCTGGTCCACTAATCTATGTGTCTGGCGCTTAATTCATGTAGCTGCTTAAATTTGTATTGATGCAACTGATGGAATAAAATTTATTTGCAAAGGATCTAAATAGATGTCATTATCTCATAAATTAGGGTTATACAGATGTTGTGAAGCCGCAACGCCACAAATGGTTGGTGCAGCAAACAGCGCCATCTTGTGGCAATTTATTTCAGCCTACATTTTTAAAAGCAGCTCCAGGTCTGTGTTATTCATATAAATCTGGCAAAAACTTTGTAATGATAAAAACCAAATAACTTGATCTTCTCGTGACCAAACAGTACTGGAAGGCAAGTGAGCTTTTTACAGTGAGGCATGTCAAACAGGTTTTTCAAAATAATAGCTCAAACTATTGCCGTTTTGGAACATAAATGGACCGTGTTGAAAGGAGCATCCACGCTGCAGAGGCTCTGCATACCGATTTTCAAAGCTGTGCCAGACTCCTTCAGGCAGGAAGAGGCACATGTCTGACAAATAATTTAGCTATAACTGCATATGGCACTTTAATATTAATCCACACTCCCTCTGATGCTGAGCGGTGATAGAGACATTTATGTAGAAGTCGTGGAAGAACAGAGAGAGCATAATGCAGTAAACATCTCTCTCTTGCATCTTCTGCTGTGCATGCTGCAATATGCATCAGGTATTCAGACTTTTACTTTTCATTTCTTTGGTAAATTTATATTTCTTAGCTCTTACATTCTCTTAAAGTGCTCAAAGTTTAGTGGTCAGAGTGGTTTTACTCTTAGATTTGATCAGTTCCCCCCCTTCTTCATGTACCCCATTAATTGAAGTGTATAGAAAAATTCAGATGAGCCCCTCTTTTCTCTCAACAGCCTCTAAAGCCGTCACTAAACACCTTGTCATTGATGCACCTTTATGGGATTTTCCTTCTCTGTGGACCCTTGCCATGACTTGTGAGCTGTATGAATCCTGGATCTCAAATGTGCAGAGAATGGGAAACCCTTTCAGGTGGTAACTTATTTGAGAACTTGAAAAATAATACGAAAGAATTTCTAACCTCTAATCTGCAAACTGTTAATCTTTGGATGTTCGTGTAAAACACCGCCAGATGCACCAGCCTCTTTCTGAATGACAGAGTTTGCCTCTAATTTATTGGAAATGCGATAACTCTGAAGCATTCGCTGGTGCTGATGGCTTCACGGTCCATTAGGGGATGATAAATTTGAAGAGGTCCTGCTGGTGTTCGCAGAGAGAGCCAACTTTGATTTCTTTCCAGTCTCAGTCCATCGCTTCACTTCCTTCACTTCTTCATTTTTAGTATTAATCCTGGGATGGTTCAGCTGTACTGAAGTCTCTTTACTCACCTGTGCCAACAGTTGGAGAAGAGACTGTGATCCAGCTTTTGAATAAATCTGTTTTGAAGCTTCTCTTTGGCTACCACGCACACAGCATGTCTTCTCTAAATATTCAGTTTTTGCACAGTTTTGATGAAGTAAATCTGACTTTTTCTGTCTGTATTTGTATTTTGGTTCATGTGTTTCATGTGGATTTTCTCACACATATACAGAGGCTTTGTTCTTATTGTATTGTATTATCATATATACACACTATATTGCCAGTAAGTATTCACTTGTCTGACTTCTCATGCGTATAAATTTGAGTGATGTCCCACTCTTGATCCATAGGTTTTAAGATTGTTATTCCAACCTTTGCAGCTATATTAGCTTCAAGTCTTCTGCGAAGGCTTTCCACAAAGTTTAGGAGAATGTTTATGGGAATTTCTGAACATTGTTCCAGAAGTACTTTGGTGAGGTGAGACACTGATATTGGTTGAGGTCTGGTGTGCAGTCTCCAGTCTAATTCATCCCAAAGTTCTTCTATCAGGTCAGGATTCTGCAGGCCTGTCAAGTTCTTCCACACCAAACTAACACATCCATGTCTCTGTTATTTACATTAAAAGATCTTCATTCTGTTCTTCTGTGTCTATAATATTAAATTGCAACACTTTTAAATAAGAGCTTGTTTCCATTTTATTCTTGAGTAGTATTGGCAGATATTCCTCTCAGGCTGTTTGCAAGTTTCACATCGTTGATCATACAGTAAGCCTGCATGTAGCCTGGCATGTGAAGCCCACAGCAGTAAAATAACTGCACCAGTAGAAGCTGATCTGCAGTTAGTAGTTACTCTAATGAGTGTATCAACGTTTTTTACAGTCAGTTTCTGTCATCGGCCCATGGAGAGAAAGGCGTTTAGCAAGAAAAGCTAAGACAGCAAAAAAAAGGACAAAATGTACAAAAGTGTAATGTCTGGTTTTGTCCATCCACCAGTTTTACTAAACAAAAATACATGTATGTCCAACTTCTTCACTAAAAAGACCAAAAAGTCTAATCTAAATGAAATTTGCAGCAGTAACATTTATAATATTTTTAATCTTGGCAAAATGGCAGCAGAAGGAAGATGTCGTTCCAGCTTTGTCTGATGTTTCTCACCGATATTCAGCTTTGAAAATGGTAGTAATAGGTTTACCCCAGAATGCTTTTTAGATCCCTTTCTGATGAACTCGTATCTGCATGACAAAGACGTCCAGCAATGTGGTCAATGTGTGTTTCTGCTTCATTTTACATTTCTGATGGGTGGAATCCTTTTTATTTCCTTTGACTGTGATAGTTTACTAAATATGTTTTTTAAGTGTTTTATTGTATTATTTACTTTTCGGTCTTTTTACATTGTCCTATAAATTACTTTCAATTGAAAGTTTGTAAAAAAAAGATGATGTACAAAAGTATTAATAAAATACGTTAATGATGACGGTTCAGCATGTTAAGCAGACGTCTTTCATTCGTTCTTAGGTGTTTTATGTTTGGTTTCATTGTCTTAATGGACTTTCTCTTTGTTACTGTTGTCCGTACTGCTTTTCTTTATCCTTTCTGTGCTCGTCTGTATTCCAGTAAAAAAACAATTTGTGTGGGGTTTTTTCTACTTTTAGTGAATATATTTAGCTTTGAGTTTCTGTTGCAGTATTTAGAATTTGAATTTCTGCTTTGTATTCCTGTTATTATGACCTTGTTTTGTTATTGTTTATTTAATGTTTAGCTGGAGATTTGGTTAGTTCGTTGTGCTTTCCAGTGTTTAGTATTTGTAGCTTTGCTGTGAACCTCCTCCCACTGCCTCGCTTCTTTTGTGTTTCCTTGTTTGTCATGCATTTATATCGAGGCCCATCTTAAGTCCTTTGCTTGTTTCCTGTTTTACTTTGTGTTTTGTTTTCTGCATGTCCTGTTTCAGGTTTACTTCCCATCTTCCCTTGATTCCCTGAGTGTGTTAATCTGCTCTTTACTGAGTTCAGTCGCGTCTACTTTCTGCATTCAGTCCCCTATCAGTATGTGTTTGTATAAACATTCCTGTCATCTCTTTGTTCAGTGGCTGTGTAGTCCCCGTGTTCCTGGTTTCATGCTTGGATTTTAAGATTTCCAGGCTTTTAAATACTCATCTTTGTGTGGATTCAAAGATTTTGGACTGAGTTTTTTTTTTCTTTTTTTTCAGACAATGAGGAATAAACACTGACTTTATGATTATGTGTCTCTGTATCCTGCACTTGGCTCCTCAAAAACACAGAGGTTTGCAATATACTGAATGTTATTGAATAAAAGCATAAAAGTTGATTTTTTACTTTCTACTCACATTAATTCCAGGAAGATAAACTTAGCAGTTGTATGTATTTTAGGTACCTTATCAATGATCTGTCTAGGTTTTCAATCATCCAGCTCATGGAGGTCTTGCATACATAAAGAGAAGGCAACTGGACTTCTTTAGGTTCTAAGGAAGTCCAGTTGCCTTCTGTTTAGGAAATCCAGAATTTGTGTGCAGATTAATATTGAGTTTAGATTAATTATTTTATGCAGCCTGCCTGCCACTGAGAGACAAGAAGCTGTTTCAAGTTTTAGATCTCACTGCGGTTTGTTCCTGAAGACCCAAGAGAAGTCATTCCTGAGTGTGTGCAAAAATGTTTTAAGAATGTGGACTGAGTCACACCATCGTCTGAGAGCACGT